ATCTTCAGGTATATGCTTGATCTCTCAAAGTTCTTCACTGCTTCACAGTTTTCTCGAAAATCTTCACCCAAGAGAAAATCAGAATTATATGAGAAATATAGAGAGAATCCCCATCAATATGCAGATGAATACAAAAATTATCGCAATTACTTGAATAGACTCATTAAAACAACAAAATCCAATTATTTTGCACAAAAAATTCAACGCGACAAAAATAATTCTAAATCATTATGGAATGTGGTGAAAACTTTATCAATCGGTAATATGAAGAATAATGAGATAAAAAAATTCAGATCAGAAAAAGGCGAACTCATACATGATGAAAATAAAATATCCGAAGTTTTTAATGACTATTTTATAAACGTCGGCAAGAACTTAGCAGATGAAATAGAAACACCAAATACTCCTCCACAAGAAAGAAATTAAATGAACCATTCCATTTTTATCAAACCAACATCTGAAACAGAAATAGCAGATATAATCAATGATTTGAAATCCGGAAAATCACCCGGATATGATTCCATTAGATGTGAAATATGTGAAGAAGTTACAATCCCAATAACTCATTTGATCAATAGCATATTCGAAACAGGTTTTTGCCCGAAGGAATTCAAATTAACTGTGGTGAAACCGTTGCACAAAAAAGGCGACAAAACAAAAACCGAAAATTACAGACCAATATCACTCATTACTAGTTTAACTAAAATATTTGAAAAAGCTTTGAAATATAGACTATCCGGATACCTTGAAAAACACAAAATAATATCAGAGAAACAATTCGGCTTTCGCCAAGGGAAGTCTACGCAAGATGCGATTACAAACTTGACTGCCAAATTATATAAAGTCATAGAAGAAGGCGAAAGTGCTATATGTATATTCCTCGACTTATCCGAGGCTTTCGACACGGTTAGCCATAAGCTAATGCTGGAAGCCTTGGAAGATATAGGAATACGAGGTCTGCCCTTGAAATTATTTGAGAGTTATCTTCAGAACAGAAAGCAATATACTAACGTAAACGGGAAAAGTAGTTCACAAAAGGATATTTCTTACGGTGTACCGCAAGGGACCGTCTTAGGGCCTATGTTATTCAATATTTATCTGAATAATCTTCTTAACATACAAGGGGAAATATATTGTTACGTTATTCGGGTGCAGAAGCGAACACGACACTATTTATTTTCCAACTGATTTATTTAAACTAAAGAAACACTAATTCATATCGAACTTATAACTACTATTTATGTAAAACGATTTATAACACGCGGTATATAACTGTCTCTCTGACACTCGCTGTTTGACTGACTCACAGCAGTTGTTCGGCGGTCTTATATATGAGAACACATGGCAGGCTTTGGTCGAGAACGTTCTCGAATGATTTTCCGTCTCCTTCTTTTTGTTCTAGAAGCTTCTTAGAACAAAACCTCTCTCTCTAATTGTTCCATCGATTGTTTCCAGAACATTCCAGAATCTTCTGTGACGTTATTTGTCACTGCGGCATATATTGAGTGTTCGGAAATATGCTGGTGTATGTAGGAATCATTGAGAGGTTGGAGAGCAATCGGGGATGCGTGATACAGGATGATCGTTGTACTCCTGCCTTCCTGCTGATGTTTCTAGAGCCCCTCCAAGGGGAATATCATTACAATATAGTTTTGCAGATGATACTATTGTTCTATACAAAGATAAGTCCTGGAAAGACCTGAAAAACAAAATAGAAGCAGATTTTGGAAATATTCTGAATTGGTTCAACCATAAATTTCTCACAGTAAACTATGAAAAGACTAGATATTTACCATTTACTGCATATAAAAAAAGCCTTCCCCAGTACGAAAATTCAGAGATTCCTGTTAATCGAAATGAAATATGCACTATCAAGTCAGCTTAAATACTTAGGTGTAACATTGGACCGTCACTCAAGATGGGACATCCACATACAAAGTGTTACAAATGCACTGAGATTTTTGATACATAAAATTGAATATTTTTCTAATATTTTAAGTACTCAACATATGAACACATTGTATTATGCACTTATAGAATCACGGATGAACTATGGAATACTTGCTTGGGGTGGTGCAGTAGAGACACGCTTAAGAAAATTGCAAGTATTACAAAACTTATTTTTAAAAATAATATTCAAAAAGAGAAACAGACACCCCACAGATGAACTCCTTAAAGAGACCAAGTGCTTCGATCTTCGACAGATATTTTTCAGAAACATAGTTATTGACCTTCACAAACATAAAAATAAGATTCGTAACCTACAACACGATTATTCCACTAGACAAAAATCAAAACTATTTTCGAAAACGGAAATGACAAAAAAATCTCTTGGTCAGCTTTCTTTTACTTATTTGTCTACTCGTATATACAACTCACTGGATATTACGATAAAACAACTAATTATATCCTCGAACTCCACTAACCTGCTGAAGAAAAAATTAGATTCATACATCCTCAATCTTGATAGATCATTTATACACAATATAATTGAAATCAAGAATGTCTAAGATCCTCACTCTGATTGTGATTAACGAAAATAAAAATAATAATTTTATATTAAACTGGTTTTTCAAAATTAAGTTGCTTTCCTAATGTCTCATTTATGAAGAAATATATTAAATATCAACATCTTCAAACCTGATTATTGTGAACATCTTTCCCTGCCTTGGATTTCAAATCTCAATTGTATTCCTACATACTATATTCAAAACGATTGAACATAATATATGTATACGTATATATACAGCCTATGCACAACTTCGGTTTCTATAGGTCTACTATGTTTATTCGTGACTGTTACTCGAAATATAATGATAATTGTTGTTATAACTGTGATTAATGTGATTATCATATTGTTATAGTGTGATTGATACTGTGATTCAATGATTATTCCTTATCTTGGCAAAAAAAAATTATTGAAAATATTTAAATATTGAATGTCAAATGTATGATGAAAAGTGAATAAACATTATTATTATTATTATTATTATTATTATTATTATTAAGAGGAAATCATCCAGTTCGTTCCTATCTGCTACCTCTTTGGCAGATCTACTCACATCCGGAGTAATTGCTTGACGTCTAGTCAAGGAGATATTTAAATGTGAGTCTGTCGAAACGTCCAGCGTCGCTTAACCCTTTCGCGGTCAAATAATATGTACCCAAGTTACGCTCATTCTCTTCACGGATTTACACTACTTTGATGCAAAATGTTGACATATGAGCAAGTATGAATACAGTTTTCGATTTTTTTTTTGAAAAAATGTAGTGGTACCTATATTTCCCACTGCCCACCAAGATATTTGGATGAATTCTACAGAAAATATGGGCCCAACTTGAATAAAACATTTATTGACATTGAAAACATATTTATGGATGACAAATCTCATTGTGATCTGCGATGAAGTTTTTTGAAACACTCAGGAACACCAATAGGCACTTCACATCTGGAGCAGGTGAATTGTGTTCGTTTCTCGTTGGCCTTCATGCTACAGATTCTGCATCTCCTGTGAGTCCCTCTTTCAGGAAACTGGGATCCAACGCTTGCTAGTCTGACTTTATCAGAAACAGTTTTCTTATCAGCTGAGAATTGAACTGGCTTGCCCCTTCTCTTTCGGCTGCTATATCCTCCAATAAGCTGATAAGTGGGTGCTATTCGGAATGTCAGTTGATCGCCGGGATGTTTGATATAGAATGAAACTATTGACAATATCTAGATAAACTAGGAAGAAAGAAATTCTGTGTCACCATTTCACTGATCTTCGTTCAATGGCATATATTTTTATTTTTTGATCAAATTTATCTACCCCGCCCATAGTTTGTTTATATGAATCTACCTCTTTTAGACAAAAAACATTGGATCCAGAGCCATCTTTATTTGTTTTCTTCACAGTGGTCACTTCCATTGGGGAGACGGCAGTGGTTAGTAAAGTTACTGGCATTGCCTTGCCTGCCACTTCACAGCAAAGTTCACCCCTTTGTTTTTTAATTGAAATTCACCGCGATTCATTACAACTTTCTGCTTCATCATTTCGGGTAAACCCTTTCTTGTCGTTCTCATAATTCCAAATACATAAATACCTCTACGATGAAGCTTTACAATCCATGGAACAGAAGTGAAAAAGTTATCAAAGGCTACCAGAGATTTTTTGCCGACAAAACCCTCCGTAAGTTCCATCACAACACTTTCACCTAGTCCAAAATCTTTGTTTTGTGATTTATCATCATTTTTGGCTGTATATATCTCAAACTTTGAAATGAAACCGGTTTTGGAATCAGCAAGGCACCAGACCTTATATCCTCTCTTCACAAGCTTCATTGTCATATACTGTTTGAAACTACAGCGGCCTTTGAATGGTATCATAGATTCGTCGACTGATAAAACAGATGAACACTCATATACAGATTGAGATTTTTTATTCAAAAAGTCAATCATGGGCCTAATTCAATAAGGTTTATCATATTGTGGGATCCACGGACAGGACAAGATTCATTATCGTTACAGTGTAAGGCTTCAGTGATTTTTTTGAATCGTTTTGAATTCATAACATCGCAAATTTCATCATCTCTCAATACAGGATCACTGCTCCAATAATGTTCTAGCCTAGGTAATTTATGGATCCCCATCGGATGAGGCAGCCAATATACGCTTTCAATTCTAGTGTGCTTAGAGGTGATCAATTCTTTATCGAAATTTGATCCGCATACAGATTGGTTTGCTGAAAAAGCAGAGGAAATGAATCTTCGTGAGAAATTTCTTGAAAGAACGGAATTTCCTCCGTACAAGCTGATATGTGGAGAACAGGGGGTTCATCGAAAGCAAGTGACAATTTGTTGAAATGTTCAGAATCTTCCTGCCATTCAAAATTGTCATCTTCATCCGCAGTTTTTCTCACACTTATCGCTTCTTTCATCCGCAATTCTGCGAATTCAATAAGGAAAGATATTTGATACGGGAAAAATCAATCAAATACTCACTACCTTCGCCCATTTCCGAATTATTGGGAATATCTGATGAAAGACTTGTGATCAGTATAACCGCACGCTTGAGAACCCGGAACTGCTTCAGCCAGTGTTTCATCTGCTAGGGTTCTATCCAAATCATAATCCGCAGTAACCGGAGAATTGGTGAAGATACTGATTGTCGATGGTGCAGGAGATGAAGTATTTCTAACACTACTACTAGCTGATTCTGTATCCAAGGCTTTCAACTGGTCTTCTACATCTGAATCAGCCTCAGCTCCTGCATTTTCTTCATCTTCAGGCAAACCAAATAGGTAGTTGAGTGCTTCCTCGGCTTGTTTCGAATCATGTGATATTATTGAGATATTGTCACAAATGAGGAGATATTTGAAGCCAAAATCCAAAATTCTTATAAAATTATATGGGTTCGAAGTCATTGAACGGTCACGTCTGTGTTTATTATTTCCAACATTATTGAACCACCAACTTTCGATTAGTAGTTGAACATAAACACAGGCATGGCATTGACTTCAACGAACCAGGAATATCCACCTGAAATCCTCACTGTCACGTTTCCAAAATATAGATTGAACATATAAAAGGCGCGAGAAAGCCAGCACAGGTATCATTCGATCATTTAATCATTTCGATCATTGCGATCATTCAAGCATTCAATCATTTGATTCAATCATTTGCCACTGTGCCCGAACCGTCGGAGTTCGGGCAGAACAGAAGATGCCCTTCCTCTAAGGTCTCAGCAATATTAGCTTCCAATGTACCTACCTACATATAGGGTAAGTTAAGTTTTTATTTATTATTATTCATTTATGCCAGGAATAAATGTGTGTATATGTTTTGTTTTGAAAAAATAAACCCTTATGAGTATTATTTATCATTATCACTTTTTAAAGTTCATTCTCTGATGGATCTAGAGCACAACTTAGGCAACCCCCGCCTACAGTTGGTGACAATATCACGGAAGAAAAGCACTAATAACAGGTGTAAAATCACAAGGCAATACCTTGAAGCACGGAATGATCTAACCTCTTTATGAATCTGAAAATCGAGTTGGTTTCTGTAATCCCTAATATATTCATCTCCTCACTAAATGGTGCCACCTGTCATGTATATACTTTCATTGTCAGTCACTGGAAAATGACATTTGAAAGTAGTGGGAATCATATTTCCCAGTGCTCGCGAAAGAAGCTCTGTCTTCCTTGTTGTTACTATCCAAGATTTTGTTTAGGAATTTTTTCAACCCTGATGATTTTGCTCCAGCTGGCTAGAGATTTGTCCCTCTTCATAATGAGGAAGTAATCAAATTAGTGTAACATTTTTATTGACTCTTATGAAATATTTGGTCTTATTTACTGGAAATTTCATATTTATCCTCTTTTTTGTTAAACAAGCGCATGGTGCTGTTCATCGGAGAGCAATTTGGAAGGATGAATCTATGAGGAATCCAAAAGACAAAGAATGATATTTTTATTACGTTAAGACTTTCCAGAACGTCACTCAGTTTTTTAAAGAACTCGAATATCAAATCGGCTGTTGAGAATCGTGCTCAAACTAAGAAATCAGACGAGATATTTCGAAGATTATCTCAATAGACGGAACTAAAACGTTCTGATATCAAGCTACAGGGGAAGTCGCGAAGTAATAACATTTTTCATATTATTCACCCTTGGTACTGAGTTTGATGAATGAGTGAGTTGTATTCAAATTAAATGAAAAGTTAACTCATGTATACGTGTGTCCATTTAGTGCGTAATTCTACGATATCTCGAAATCAATTTTCACAAGAGAAAAACTTTGGAGAAAAAACTTTTTCAGTTACTAAAGTTGCTCATTTCGAAAATATTTCCAACAATACTGGGTGTTTTATAAAAGCGAGGCAACTCGAAGACGAGTTTTTTCAAATGGAACACCCAGTATGACTACATGAAGTAACAATGCTTGAATGTAAATTTAACTTTGAAAATCTTAGCATGAATCTAATAGGCATATATAGACCTAATTCTACAGATGTCAATACCTTTGTCAGTGAACCAGCACATAAACGAATTAAACAGAGACGATACTGTTATATTGATTGGGGATATCAATATCAATTTAAGAAAACAAACAGGACAAGACACAATAAATTATCAGAATATGTTAGAAAGAAATATATTTCTTTTCCACATTAACATACCGACAAGAGAAGAAGACGGTACACATTCTATAATTGATCATATATTCATTCGTGAAAAAAATACATCCTCAAATCCAAAAATGAGATATATCTCTATGGTACTTCATAATAGTATGACTGATCACTATCCTATTTTATGTAATATTCAAAATCAAAATCAGTCACAGGCCAGACCGCAGAAACAAATGATGATAAAAAGAATTGAAGAAAAAAAAATTGTAACGAAATAAAGTCAATAGACTGGAATATATTGTAGAGCAAAGGATTATTTTTACGATAAAATTAATACTTGTCTAAAAAGTGCAACCTCAATAATTAAAATAACAAATAAAATAAAAAGATTGAAACCATGGATGACTCAGGGTTTACTAGCCTCAATACGAAACCGGGATAAATTGAAACAAAAATTCCTTGAAGATTCTAATAATACAACAAGAATTGAACAAGAATATAGAAACTATAGAAATATATTAACAAACCTGATCAAAACAACAAAAAACGATTATTATAGACAAAAATTTTCAGAAGCAGGGAACAAATACAAAAAAACTTGAGAAATCATTAACGAGGCCACTAATGGAATCAACACAAACGAGATCAAAAATTTACAGAATATAAACAATAATGGACAATGTATTAGTAAAAAATGTGAAATTGCAGAATGCTTTAATAAATTCTTTATCAAAATTGGGAAACAAACTACAAACTCGATAACAACAACCAACTAGTCAAATGAAAATAAGTTCAAGTATAAAAACAATCATCATGCAAATTCCTTATACTTAGAACCAGTTATTGATAAAGAAATAGAAGACACCATTGCAAGTCTAAAAACAAATACATCTCCGGGAAAAGATGGAATTACAGCTAGATTGTTGAAATTGATCAGTAAAGACATTAGCAATCCACTTGCCTACATCTTTAATTTGTGTTTTTTGAACTCTGACATACCTAAAGAATTCAAGGAGAGTGTTGTTATACCTATTTATAAATCAGGAGATAAAAATGAAATGACAAACTACCGACCAATCAGATTGATTAACAATATTGGTAAAATTTTCGAAAAGTGCCTGAATAAACGACTACGTTCTTATTTGGAAAAATATAAGGTTTTATCGCAAAAACAATTCGGTTTCCAGCCAGGAATGGGAACAGAACAGCCATTACAACTATTGACAACGTATATTCTAGAAAATCTTGATAAAAATAAAAAAACAATTGCCATATTTTTAGATCTACAGAAAGCTTCCGATACTGTGTCCCATACTGAATTAGGGGAGACGAGGGGAATAATGGACTAACCCCCTAATAGTGGACAAGAGACTGGCATATTTCGAAAACCATTAGGTCAGAATAAGTAGTATCAGCTATGTTTATTGTAGTTTGTAACATTTTTTACTTACATTAGTAAATAAGTTACGGCTCCGGCAGCTGTTCGTCTTGGTGAGCAAAGGTGTAGGTAAGGGTTATGTAATCACTTTCTATTAAGATAGACCATTTCTTATCAAATGATGGAAATTACTTTTGGGCGCCACTTGGCTCTATAAATTCATTAAATTACTTCTTCACTGAGGGTGGGAGCAATGGAAAGCCAAGAAGCACTACTCAAATTATATAAAAGTTAACAAAAAAAACTAATGAAGAAGGATTTATGAACTGCATCGGAATTTTTGTATTTCTGTGAGTACCTGAAGAAATTAAACACCAAATAACTCGACAAACATTTACTCCTAAAAAGAACATCACCCTCGACAATTAAACTGGGAAATTGTACACCAATGAGATAATCGTAAACTATGTTGCATAAATCAGTACTCACGTGGTAACTACCTAAGATAGATGTTATAAACCATTCACAATAGACTGTGAAAAATCAGTGAATCAGCGACCACTCAGTATACTGTGTGTTGCGTCATATAGGCATGATAATGCGGGTGAATATAATGTCATTTACTGGCGCAAAAATCTAGGCAATCACCATTTTGTATAATACGAAAACCTAAATAGGAAAATATATAGGTATGTGATAATAAAAAAGACGGTATAGCTTTCCTGGTTACGTGCGGAATAAAGATCCCACAGGTGTAGAATCCCTCACTGCTGGGTCCAAGGTGATCTTCTAATAGGCATTAGAGGAGTCTGGTAGGGCTCGCCTGTTCTCGGCGTTCCATATCCAGAATCGAGGAGAAGAGGAAAATAGGGTAGAGCGTGTTCCTAACTACCACGTACAACCCTGGAGTATAAAAAAACACCTGTGACCAACTATTCCCGTTAGATGGGTATTCAACTAACTTACCCCGCAAAGGAGGGTTGACTTGTAGTTAACAGGATTTTAACGTTTTCTCGTACACAGGTCAGCGTTCCAGGCAATCCAGAGATTTGGACAGCACGCCCATGTTCAAAGAGTGAAGACATGTGTCATAAAATGGCGGCCGATCACACCTCAGGTTCCGGAGACTCGGGCACGATTCGGACACAGAAGTCCAGGAATTTGTGACTTCAGAAATGGCACAATAATTACTTGTTTCAATGGCGAGTTGAACACTTTGAAGATCCCGACAGGGACTTTTTAGATAGCACAAATCCACAATTGTGTTGCGGTACAAAAGTTGATAGGAACTACCAACACTTCAGGTGTCTTCCAAAAAATCAAAAGCCGGTAAAATTGGCGTGTTTTCTTCTTTTATCACCTCGGTGTATGTTCCAGAACCGATCATGACCAATCGGCAAGTTCCCTGAGAAAACGACATCAGCGCCATCTGGGAATTCGAATTTCTCTACCGCCAAAATGAAATACAAAGGGAATAGGAGAAACTGTCACAAATAGAATAATTTGTGAAATAATGTAGACATTCCAAATATCAGGATTTTAATCCCAACCATATAACGACCAATCGGTGACTTCTGATCTCAAATACAACTTTAATTTTTATCATTTCAGTTTTGATCAGCGCTAGGCAACTAACAATACTCTTTATCATCTCTTGGGTTGCCAGCTAATAATTCAGAATACCGTCGGCGATTTTATAAAATAGTGGGAGGCATATTTCTCGATCAGTTCAAAACCAGTTTCTTGGAATCGAATCTATGCGTATCGCGTT